GAGTCTGGAGCGGGGGGGGGGTGGGGGTGGGGGGGGGGGCAGTGGCGGAGCGCCGACGACGACGACGCAACTGCCGAGTCCGCACGGTCATCCGCCACCACCGCCGTCGGCGCAGCCCGAGCCGCGCCTGCACTCGCACAATCCCCGTCAATCCCCGCACGCCCCACCACAGCATCCGCACCAACCACCAGCGCCGCCGCATCCATCGCCGCCTGAACCGCGCTATCTCAGCAGGCCGGAATCTGCGGGTCTGCCGTACGGCGCGGCAAAATCTACGTATCCGTACCCGCATCCGCATCCGCCCACGGCCTCGTCGACGACGTCGTCGCATTACGCCGCGCCGCCGCCGGCCGGCTCCAAGCCGAAAGTCAGCAGCCCGGCGCCGCCGCACATGTACGGCAAGCCTAACTGCGGTATTACTAATTGCGGCATTATAGCCGGCACGCCGGTCTGCCGTGCCTCCGAAACGCCTGTCGCCGCGCCGATACCGCTGACCTCGAAGGCCGGCAGCTCGCCTTACCAGCAAGTGCCTCATCATCACGGGGCGCCGCCGCCACCGTTGCCGCCACCTGCGCACAGCCGGTCCGTCTACGACAGTCGCTTCCCCGGTTCATTGCCGGGCGCGAAACTGCCGCCACCGACCTTGCATGGTTCGCCGCCCACGGCTGCCTCGGCGCCGCTCTCAAGGCCAATCGCTCATTCCGCGCATCTCAATACCAGCCCGCATCAGCAACCCGGTCAAACGTTGCAGCACGCGCAGCCCCAGATCACCACGGCCTTCCAGACGCAACCGCTCGATCTCGGTGTCGAGAGGTCGGGCTCACCGAAGAGGAAAGCACCGACGCCGTTATTATGCGACAATACCAGCGGCCAGCCGGTGTCGTTGGAAGTTTGTAAGAAGCGAAGGACCGAGGAACCACAACCATTATCCTTACAATCCGTTGGTCCACCTGTTCTTTCCAGGGTGAGCGAGCCCAGCCCGCTTATCGCTTCAGCCGCTACGTCTATCACTACAGTTGTCAACACTGCAGCATTGCTGGCGCAGCCAAACAATCAGGTAACGCAAGAGCAGCGCACAGTGACAGCGGTGAGTCCGGCTCCGGGTAACGCTAGCGGTGACGGTTCCGTACGACCCGCTAGCACCGGCAGCGTATGCTCGCTAAATCCAACATCAGTGAGCGCGGCACCAAGTCCGGCGCCCATCCCTAGCCCGGCACCGTCCACAGCACCTAGCCCAGCGCCCAGTGCGCCAGGCACGCCCGCCAAGACAAACCCCAGCAACACGGACAGCGAGAAGTGTAACAGTCCGGCACCGAGACCTCCTAGCAGCACCAATTATCCAGTACATAAACTGAAAAAGGCATGGTTGCAAAGACACTCGAGGTGCGAAGACGGCACCGAGAACACTATCAGTATGGCCGGCAGCATTACGTTACCTCTCAACATCTCTCGTGAGACAACGTCCTCGAATAGTAAGAACCGCGACAATGCGCCGACTACTTGTTTGCCTAGCGCGGTTAATTCGATCCACAATATCGGTAGCATGGCAGTAAACAGCATCAACAAAAGCAAAGTTACTGGCAGGAGTGGCCGAAAGCCGGCGAACAAAGAGTCATTGAACGGTCACGCCACTGATACCAGCAAGACCCCACAAGAGGACTCGTCTAGCAGCGACCCGGAGAGGAAGTCGCCGCCTAAACGGAAGCCACCCAAGGTATCTATTTATACAGATCGCTTACAGTAGCTCCTATTTATTGCTAGAAGTCATTATTTGAATTTGGAGTGCGTATGCTGTGCTGGTAGTGTAGTATTCGCTTGTGCCCAATAACTTTTAACTTTTCCTCGTTGAATAATATGTGACTTCATGATAAATTGTATAAAAATATATTATTTTGTAATAATATATAATAACAAGAAGAATGAAGACTAATCATTAAATCCAGTAATTATTAGATCTTCAATTATTAGATTTTCAATTGAAATTCTTGATGTTAGAAATATCTGCAGAAATATTACATGTATTATTGTACATTTGTTGTGCAAAGTGTGAATTTAAAATTATGTTCTTTAATGATATTACCTAACGACTCTTATAGCAAAATATTAATTATTAATTTATATTTTCTTGAAATTGTAGATTATATTTTACATACAAACATTTTTCAATGTTTTGATATCATATTTTTTTATCTTATAGTCAGTATTTATAAACGACTGTTTTCATAAGTTATGAGCATTAAGTTTAGTAAAAGCTTTAACATTAATTACTTAATCATATATATAGTCATTAGAATTAATAAAATTTGTTATTTTGTATCGGTATCGTAATTTCAGATAATAAATTTCGTAAAAAAACCTGTAGAAATTATAGAAGCATGAATATGCAGTAGTTTTGTTTGCTATGCCGTAGTTCTTAACTTGCAACTATCATAGAAGGAAAAACTCTTTATCATCGAGAATATTTGCAGTTTAAAAAAATATTGATCATTTTGTGTTATGAAGAAAAACCCGAGCTCGAGTACTCGTACTTCTTTTCATATTAAAAGATTATATATTTAAACCGGACATATACTGAACACTTTAAAGATAAAGATAAAGTTTTTAATGTTATTATTATTATTAACTGATGTATTATCTAATAGAAATATAATATAACAGAATTTATTTGTAATATTATTTATTATTAATTAATATATTCACGCGACTTTCGAAGGGAAAGATTTGTTTAAAATAAAACTGTACTTAAGCCTTCCTCTGGAACGTCGTGTTGTATATTAATTATTAATAAATAATATTAAAGATTGTATTATAGTGTACATTCCTATTAGATTATATATTAATTAATAAATTTGATTTAAAAAATTGAAACGCTGAAGAATTATTCTTTAAAATTTTATATTTTGTATATCTATTTTGAATTGTATATATTTAAATCGTACGCTTTTATTTTTGATGAAACAGTAGTGCTGGATCTCTATTTTTGAAAAGAAACGTATATGGAACTCTAGGAAAATACTACAGTGTATGAAAATATTACATATACTATAGTATTTTCCTAGAATTTCGTATGTACGTTTCTTTTTAAAAATAAGAGTTCTGTCCTTTTTAGCTAAACTTCTTGCAGTATACACGTGCGTGGAGATTTACGAGGCACTAAAAAGATACGTTTCTAAAGTAAGACATAAAATTTGGAGGAGCTCAAAATTTTAACAGACACCAACAATTTTTAGATTGTCCGAAAACGTACAAAAATTGATCACAAAAGTCTGTAATGTCATTAATGTTCCCTCCTTTGTATTTATGACCAGTATTAAAAATCTATAGTATACGTTACGTGCACTGTAGACTTTTATTACTGGCAGTGAATAAATTGGTGAAACTTTTTTCTTTTTTGCTCAATTCATTACGGTTGACGAGGGATTTCATTGACCCGGCAATCCTTGAACCGAGACATGAAAGCAAATTCCAACGTAGGACGTCTCGGAAAAGACATCGGAATGCTTCCGACTGTACATTTTTTTTCTCTTTTTCTTTTCACGTTGGAAAGAAAAATAGAATCAATGACCTATGCAAGAAAATCAGACAAAAAGTACAAAGTTAGGGTAGGGTTCACAATTGAAACTGACCTGTTCTTTGCTGCACTAGGCCTGGACTAGAGCTTTCTTGTCTTTGCCAAATCAGTTTTGAAAGATCGGTCGAGGTGGAAGGATATCGGGTTCGATCCGAGTTTTGTGTCAGAATTTGTTAGTTAGAATTTTTTGTTAGTGTCCGCCAAATCGTGTTCGTAAAAAATCGTGCACTATATATTAGGTGTTGGAATTAATTCGTAGCGTTTTACAATGAAAGAATGTTATTTATTTCACATGAGCATTAAAAAATACATTAATGAAAGTACTTCCCATCACTTGTAAAACGCTACGAATTAATTCCAACACCTAATATATCGAGTTTGTTGTTCCTCAAAGATTTTAATTACACTTTTCTGCTTTTCTGTATTGCCTTTCCTAAGGCAAAAATCACTTAATTTTTAAAGAAGTTTTTGCCAAACAGAATTGTAGAATTAGGAAACTTAGAATGCTTATAACATGGGAAGAGAGGATAATTGTGCTCAATAAGCTAAAACGAAAGAGAGAGATATGCATGAAATTAACAAAATTAAATGTAAAGGTTTATAAATATCTTAAATTTTAAACAATTAATTACGTAATAACGATTTTGTTGCTATTTGACAGAATATTGTCAAAGTTGATTATATTATGCGTTTAAATATTTAAATAAAGTAGTCTTTTTAATATGAATTGATTCAGTGTAGTGTGTAATAATCGAATTCATTACATGAGTCTCGAATCATCGAGAATGTAGTACGTTTCTCGGGTTATCTCCGCGTCTATATATGCATTCTTGGAACGCCAACGTTTCGTGAACGTTGCAGTTGGCGTTCTAAGAATGGATATCACAGAGATAACTTGCGAAATGCATAGCTTCTAGAAAGTACTCGTGGAAGTTTAAAAAGTATTAATATAATACGATTTTTTAAGAAATGAAAGAAGAGCACAATTTCCCTTTTATCAATGTACACACAAAAAATATATACTGTACATAAATAATAATTACTTGTTATAAACATTTTAAGTTTATAAATCCGCACATTTTTTATAAATTCATTACAACAATCAAATTTATTCAACAAATATTTCGAAAAAATCTTAGTAAGCTTAATTCTTTAATCAAGATTTAAGATAATTAAATTAAAACAAATTTGATTTGCTTATTATATAAAGTTACTTGAAAGTAAATTACATAATTACTTTTTTTTAGCAATAAAATAATATTTTTTGTATTTATTATATTATTATATTTAATCTCGATTCAATTTATTAAATAATCTTTTTCTAATGCCTAGAACTAAAAAAAGATTAATTGAATCAAAATTAAAATTAAACTATATTATAAAAACGGGCGTTAAACTCTGTCAGCTCGTCAGTTTTTACGGTGATAAACGTTCTAGTATATTTTCGAGTTCACTGGCCAAATATAATGAATAATTTATTTCAAATATAATACTAGCTTAGAGTTACAAAGAATACGAGTCTCTGCCTTTCTTAACGGACTTTTGTCCATTAGACCAATTCTACAATAGGATCATATTAGAAATAGACGGTCATAACCGTTTATTCTCTTCATATTCGAGCTGTGATTGGTCGGACGACCCTATTGTAGAATCTGCTCCGTAAAGTGAGTTTAAATGCCGCGCAAAGGGCGCCATTTTCCTACGTAAGGCGTGTATGAATCATGGGTGATCACGGGTAATGGACGTTGCGCGAGTAACAAGTGTTTTGTCACGTACGCCTATAAACAATTGATTGACCAATCATCAGGCAGGATTTTCGCAACGAGTGTCTGTACATCGATCGCGAGTGGCAGAATATTCGTCATGAACAAATATTGCAGAGGGGTAAATATTGCCGTTACTCAGAATTTTTGCCGCGATCGTGACCTAACCTCCATTCGCGCAAGGTGATCGGGACGCTGGCACAGTAATTTCGCTTTTACCGGAGATTCCGCGATAAACTCGAGTTACATTTACAGTAGATTCGTGATTTTTTAGCAGACTATTGAATTATGCTTCAAAAAGAATAATTGTGTTGCATTAAGCACGTGAGACTCCACACGTTGAAAAGAAGCATTGTTCAGTACTCTATCTCGGAAAAAAAAGAATTTAAACGAGAAGATTACACTTTTATTTGTTATTTAATTTAAAAACACTTTAAAAGTTTATAAACATTAAAGAATAAAGTGGAAATTGAAGGCAATTGAAGGCACAATAAATAGATTCATAACGGATAAGAGGTTGTGTGAATGTAATTGTGTTTGCGATATAGAGCTGATTAGATATTATTATGCGTGATGTAATTTTAATTTTTGCTTAGGTTTACATAGATCTTTAAACTTGATGTGCCAAATGGTAGCGCTGAAGCAGTAGTGTGGCCAGTTTAGTAGCTTCGGCTAGTAGATGCGGCAAGAGCATGAACTTCCTGACTACTTAATAATCTATGCCCTGTGGTAGGTAAAACGAAAGAAGGGCGCCGCACGGAGGCAACAAACGGCCGCGGAAGATCAGCGGAGACGGAAGGAGGACAAGCAAGGCGGCGGTGCGGGCAGCGAGTCCAGCAATGAGAGCGAAGCAGGCTCCAGCGACACTAGCGAACAGTTGAGCTCTATTCAGCCTGCGTCGAGGGTTCGACACACCACGGCCAATTCCAACAATTCCTCGGGAAACGGTTAGTTGACGTAGCTTCTTGTAAATGGACTTCCCGTCAGGTGAACTAACTATTCACTTGCAGGGTAAGTGATCCGTGTTCCATGATCGTACAATTATTCCTGTCTCTAGAGATATACGAGAACTCGAGAGAATCAAGAGTGATTGACAAGCAAATTGAATTGCACTTAATTTACGGAATTTCATTTCTGGTTGAAAAAGGAAGATTTTTTTTTTTTAGAAATTTTTGATCTTTGATGCTTTTTTCGAGTTCGCTTATCTTCTTTCAAATTTTATTAATTCGATCTCACGCACTTACCCTGTTCCCTGATTATATCATTACAGATGCACATACATTATATTTTTAAGATATTATATATACATGATGACAATATAAAATAATTGATAATATTATGATATTACCACGAGCTTTTTAACACTGAATGACTCTAATAAAATTGCGCATAAAAATTAGGATGATAACAGACTTTCTAACGAAGCGAGATGCATGATTTGTTGATATGCAGGAAATAACAAGGAACCTAGGAAACGTGGTAGGAGACCAAAGAGTACGAAAAACAATGACATGGGAGGCGAGGATCAACAACCTCGTCAGAAGAAGGAACGCAGGGACGACAGTACGAGCGGCGGTAACAATGGTCCAGGCGGAAGCGGTGGACAGTCCTTTCGTAAACCGACGATATCGCAACTGAAAAAATCCGGTGAGAGCTGGCTGCAAGACGGCGCCTGTTTCGAGGTAGCTACGAAATTGGCCAAGTGCCGCGAGTGCCGATGGACGCCGAACCAGCGCTCCAAGAACTCTCAGAATATCTTCTGCAGATTCTACGCATTTCGCAGACTGCGTTATACCAAAAACGGACAATTGGCCATAGCGGGATTCAGTGACCCACATAAAGATGCGTCCGAGGTAAATTACGAAGATCAACATGGTCAACACTTATACATTGTAATTAAATTATTATAAAACGAATTAAAATAAGATGAATAGTCAGTCTTATGTCTGTATCATATTACCGATTGGCGATTGCATCTACGTTTGTATTTGAATCTTTTGACTAATCGAAAAGATATTTGCTAGCAGTTCTTTTAAGAAACTTAATCGCTAGTTGCTAATGTGATACGGATATTGCAGTTTTTTAATTCGAGATGCATGCTCTCAAAGGAGAACTATCGTTACAATGTTACAGGATGATCTTCGATTATGGTTACCAGGAGGAGATAACCAAAAGGCAACAGGAAAGAATGACAAATCCGAGAAGAACGAGAAGGACAAAGGAGATCGAGAGGACCTAGACTTAGAAACGGCTCATCGGCTGCTTTGGCAAGTTGGCGATCAATTCTGTGATCTTTTACATCAAGAGAAGAACGCCCTCCAAGAACATATGGCTGAAGGTAACTTTTTGTTCTTTTTACAACATATTTTTCGGAACTGACCCCTCCCTCCCAATTTTCGTATCAATCAACTCATACATGCCATACATATAATTAAAATACATCATTAAAGCAAATATGTAAAGCATGTAATAAAATTAATTTTATTAAAATTAATATCATCATCATTATTAAATTATTTTCAGTCATCTGATTTTTTATACATCATTCACACTGATTTTTTTTGTATATAATAATTCAATATGCCATTTTGCAAAACTTCAAATATCAGGCTGCATGATGGTTTGCATAATTTATTTTGTTCGCATGTTTTAACGCTTTGCGCATCGATTATGGTTACCTTTTGACAGCGAGTTCGGGGGTTGTAGACGGAACAGTAGCGTGGAAACGAGTAATCCTGGGTGTTCGAGAAATGTGCGACGTGTGCGAGACTACCTTGTTCAATGTCCATTGGGCCTGTGGCAAATGCGGTTTTGTCGTGTGCATTGATTGTTATAAGGTAAGTTGCGTGAAATATATATATATATTTTTTTTTTCCAGTTAAATGCTAGGAATAGGATATGATGACAATTAATTCAATTGATATCACATGATATTGTACAATAATTTATTGAGCTTTTTAACACTGACATTAATATAATAGTTACAATTTTTTTCTCTTTTAAAGGAGATTTATTGATAGACATATATTAATATTTAGGGACGTAAAAATGGAACGGTCAAAATCTGGGGCGAGAGTGGAAAAGACAGGGACGACTTTTCGTGGCTTCTATGCACGAATAGGCAAGTGCACGAACCAGAACGACTCATGCTTACACAAATCATCGCCGGCGACAGTCTTCTGCGACTGGGTCAACGTCTACACGAATGTCGTGCAGAATGGGGAATTCCGCAACATTGTGCTTGCTCCCTTGTAACTCCAACGCAACCAAACGAGATCCTTCGAAATCTGATTAAAGGTGATTCTGTGCCTGTATTAAATGGAAACGTAAAGCAGGAGATAAAAGAAGAGAAGAAAATAAATGAATCTAACGGTGCATCGGAGAGCAAAACCAACGGCGAAGACAAAAACTCACCGCTGAACTGGTTAGCCGATGTAGCACTGCAGAATCAAGACAAAAACGATAGCGGCTCAGACTCTGACTCGGACGATGATCGCGAGGGTAATTACTCGACATTGCGGGAGTTGCTCATAAGGCCATCGCACAAGTCAAATGGGAGCGGCGGATCCAGATCGAATTCACCTACGAATAATTCGAGTGGTGTGAATAACACTCCGCAGAATAATGTCGCCAAGTCTGGCAAAAAGTCGAAAATGGATACGCTTGATGAAGTAATATCCAGTGTGATCGAACACAGTGTGAAAAAGGAAAAGGACAGTGGTCTCGATGACGAAAAGCCACGAGAATTGAAACATTTCGTACGACGTTACAAGTGGACACAGCGTGGTCGTGAACCGTTACCAATCAGAATTATGACGGGTACAGAGAGCCGGAGTCTTTATCCAGACGTACCACACTCTTGGCTCTGCGACGGCAAGTTGCTGAGGTTAAGCGATCCGAATAATCCAAACAACTACAGAATATTTCAGGATCAATGGAAGCGAGGACAGCCGGTAATTGTGTCTGACGTCGCCAAGGCGCTGGACATGAAGCTCTGGCATCCTGATTCATTCGCCCGCGACTTCGGCGATGAGAAGAACGATCTCGTTAACTGTATGACCGGCAATCTAGTGCCGAATCAACCAATGCGCAAGTTCTGGGAAGGATTTGAGTATTATTCTAAGCGGCTTAAAGACGAACGAGGAAATCCTATGCTATTGAAATTGAAGGACTGGCCACCCGGTGATGATTTCGCCGAATTATTACCATCGAGATTCACGGATCTGATGAAGGTTCTTCCATTGTCCGAGTACACGCATAGAAACGGCAGGCTAAATTTGGCGAGTCGTCTACCTAATTGCTTCGTGAGACCGGATCTGGGTCCAAAGATGTATAACGCTTACGGTTCCGCTCTTCATTCCAACAAAGGCACGACTAATCTTCATCTTGATATCTCGGACGCCGTAAACGTTATGGTATATGTAGGAATGCCAAAGGATGTTAATGACGAAGAAAGTCTCAAAGGTACGTATTCATATCTGATCTTTACGCATAATCAAGCATCCATTTACGTCGCTAATATTCTTATCAAAGTAATAATTGAGTCTTCGAAAATTAATGATCGAAACATTTACAGCTAGGACAGAGGCATTGAGAGCAATAGACGAAGCAGGCTGTGATATTCTGACGCGTCGACGTGCTCGCGAAGAGAAGGAGAATGTGCCTGGTGCTTTGTGGCACATTTACGCAGCGCGTGACGCAGACAAAATTCGAGATCTTCTGAATGCCGTTGCCTTAGAACGCGGAGCTCGTTTGGAACCTCACCACGATCCTATACACGATCAAAGTTGTTATTTAGATGGGCCATTGCGGGAGCGATTATATCGAGAATATGGTGTTGAAGGGTAAGTGTTACTTTTTACATACGAAATACATGCTTTTAAATAATGCTCCAAAGAATTTGTTGGAAGAGAGAACGTTGATTGTAATAATTTTATTAAAATAATGTTTAATCTTATTGCAGGTACGCTATCGTCCAATGTCTAGGCGATGCAGTATTTGTGCCAGCTGGTGCGCCACATCAAGTCCGTAATCTTCAAAATTGTATAAAGGTGGCCGAAGACTTTGTGTCGCCGGAGAATGTGTCGCATTGCTTCCACCTGACCCAGGAATTCCGTGCACTATCCGATACCCATACGAATCACGAGGATAAACTTCAAATCAAGAATATTATTTACCATGCCGTGAAAGACTCTCTGACCGTTTTAGCCAATGTTAAGGAGGATACTCTCGCTAAACTCGCCAAGGCTAATGAAACGAAAACAAAGGAGGAGACTTAGCCTTAGGTCTTCCCTGTATGGTCATAAGACCGATTGATAATCCCCTTGATTGGATCTCGTCGTTCGTATGAGATTGATCGCAGTCAGCGCTTCCGGACATAGCGAAGTTGGCACTCCCGGAACAATCTGCAGAAGAAGACCGCCCTTGTTGCAAAAACATCGTTGCGGAGATGCGATTTGTTGTGATATTTGTGAAGATTTAATGATTTTAATCGGAGGATTTGATTTGCGATATTGGCTGAGCCAATGAACATTAGTTATATATTGTTTCATTCAAATTCTCTTATATACAATTCTTTTCTGCTCTCCCATTTTCCGCGAGAAAACGTGCCCGCGGACATGAAGTCCGATGAGCTGCTCTTACGAGTGAAAACAAAATCTGTAGCTCGGATCGCGCATAGATAAAACGCCGCGTCCATTACTATTGTGATATAAGAAGGACTTTGGATCGTATACATTTATTTGTAATTAATTATATCGTGCCTGTATCCAATACATACACTCATTCACACATACACATACACACACATACACTTGTCTATATTATATAAATGTAGATAATTGAAATATTGTGTAATAATTTTTGCTAGCAACTACCAGAGAGAAAGAGGGAGAGAAAGGGGGGTTCGTCTAGAAGTACCTTTGTGCAATTAGGTGTGACTATAAATTATTATAGCTGGATCACAGCGAATAACTGCGGATCCATTTAATCGTCTGCTCTGAAATCTGGTGCTTTTCGGTATTTGATCAAAACCCCGGCTAGAGATAGCCGATACGTATTCGCGTTCATGTCTTCTATGTTTCACGCAATAAAGGCGTAAAAAATAAAAAACACTGCCTAATTAATCGGTTCGACGACAATGGAAGAAATAGACCTTTTTCGCATTTCTTTTTGTTTAAGTAAACATTTTGTAGAACAACGTTCACAGAACAACGTTCTTGTAGAGATGCATTGTGTTTTTATGGCGACGTATGTATCGGTTATATAAGCAACGGGGTGAACTGCAAGTTTTGTATGTCACTTCGAATATAAGGCATCAGAACTTAAAAAAAAAAAATAAAAGAAATATAAACTTGTCCGATATTAACTTTTCAAGATGTAACGGCGAATGTGAAACACTGTTGAATTGAACGTTTCATTGTTGTCGTAACCTAATGACTACCCGGCGTGTAACGGACGGGAAAGTACTAATAAATGAATATGTTATTTTTGTCAAAGCGTATACAAACCGTCTATGTCGGACGATAAAACGAAAAGACAGCGATAATGTAATTGTAACGAGATGCTGAGACGCTAAATAAAGATAAAATTATTTGCAGTAACATTTAAAGGAAAAAAAAGGATGACTTTCGAAGTGCCAATGTTGAACCACGTGGGACGTTAAATATGCGCGCGTTGTATTGTATTCGTATATGCGTAGGTAAAAAAAGAGAAAGAAAAGAACGAAGAAAAGAGAATTAATTAGTCACGCAGAATTCACAGAGATGACAGGGCCGAGTTCCTATCATTTCGTGACAGTTCGTGCGAACGACAATATTCCGCGCTAATCGGACTGTCACTGACGATTCGAAAACTGCTGTCGTTTCCGTTTCTTTTTCTCCTTTTCGCTGAAATTCGTTCGATGGACGTTGCATAAGCGTAAATATGTACATGAAAACGACGAAACTTTCCGAGATCAATGTTCACACTTATAACTTGCGATACTGCAAAACAGCAGCTCTCGAATCGAACATAACGTCATTACGTATTATTTTTGCGCCGATTGTCAGATAATAATCGTTGACGAATAATCTTGACACAGTGTAAAGAAAAGAAAGAGCGAACGGAAGAGAAGAAAAAGAACAAAAAAAAAGATCACTGGCATCCTGGAATCCGCAATTTCTTTGATCTCAACATTCGTCTAGCATACAACGACTTGATTAATATTTAACGAGTAAATTTTTAAAATATCTTAGTGTTGATAGATAACGATTGTGGGAATTATATAAGCTACAAACAAGCAAAAAGTACTAACTCCACAACGGCGGTGTTGTATAAAGTTCTAGGAAGACGTATTTCTGTGTATTATTGCTGCAAAACGAGACGCTATTGTTTGTCCTCTTGCTACGTGTATATGTACATACATTTATATACATCCGTATATGTATACAGATATAAATACGAAGACGGGAAGAGTGTCTAGGACTCGTAATGATAGGAAGATATGCAAACCTTTACGAAACACGAGAAGATACACCTTACACGCGTAGGTAGATAGTTTATTATACCATTATTATAATTATTATATATTATCATTATTACGTTTAATTATTACGGAAAATACGATATTTAAATGTTGCTGAATATGAGAACGACAAACATGAACGCGCGCGAGTGTAAATGATTTAAAAGAGGGAAAAAAGAAAGAAAGAATATCGGAACAGTAACGCAGAGTAGACAAATGAGAAAGTGAGCGAAAAAGATAGAGTGTGAATGAATGAAAGAGAGAATAAAGGGTATAATTGATTTTGTGTGCGTATGCGTGATGGCGATCCAGTGAAAATGCGACAGAATGAGAGAACGAGGGGCCGTGTATTGGGGGCGGAGTGGAATGGACGGTATCTAAAATGATGTACAGACCTTCGACCTTCCGCAAGATGTGTGTATATCCAACCCCCAAGAGATAAAAAAAAAGAAAAAATTGTACGCTATATCCACCCCCTTTCCTCCCCCTGCGTCCCCTCCTGCAACCACCGGCCGCCCCCAGTCATAGCAGTTATGAACCGCGGGCCGGCAGGTCTGAGTATAATTTTTTGTACTGTGTAAATGTAAGAACCATACGTTTGAATAAGAAAAAAAATGTTTATATTACGAAACACTGACGTTTGGATCATTGCGTCTATTACCATCCTCAGTTACGAGATGAATGGAAAAGTCGTTTTATAAATAGTTTCTTCATGGAAGTGTAGGCGAATTTAGCGATTCTTTAAAATTTTAATTAAACTGCTCCGGCAATTGAACCTGGAAATTGAAACTCCAAAATTTAGAATTAAGATTAAGAGTTAAGGAAGGAAGAGTTATGTTAAAGAAATCTGAAGTCCTCACTCGGAATTAATAAAATAGAAATTTATCTGTTTATTTTCAAAGTTTTAATTCGTCTACATTTTTAAGCCGTTTGCGATAATAATTTCTTTTGACATTTTGAAATAATTTTGGGTTTTCCCATTTAGCAAAAATACGACGTAGTATTTTTTTTATATAGGTACTGATTGTCAAGTAAGCATAATCGCTTTTTTCTTGTCACAGAGAAAGAACAGTCATTCATTTTAGTATAATTATCAGTACGATATACTTGTTTTGAACAGAAATGGAATTCAATTTTAATTTCACATTATTATAACATTGCATTATATTATAATCGAGTAAATATTTCGATATCTGAGAACTGAAATTTTTTGTGAAGAAGGATATTCATCAGGGGAAGGATATTGATATTAATTCATTAATCAACAGGTAACATTGAACATGATTTAAATTTACTATAATTTTATGATAGAGTTTTTTATTATGTTGTAATAATTACACATTTATCAATTATAGAAGTGCGATTTATCTTTAAATGTATATATATGTATATATATATATATGCTCTCTAAAACTTTTAGAGTGAATCTCACTCTTAAAAATTGAAAAATTGAGCCACTCTTTTGACTGATTCAATTTTCATTCTGTAAAGTGAAATTCTATTCCAAAGAATTCAGGGAATGTATTTGTATATATAATATCAGTGAGTGCTTTCTATTTACTCCATATAGTGACACAAGTTAACACGAACATTCTATTTTTCTTGATATTTCATTGAAAAATAAAGATAAAAATACTTGTGTCAATTTGTGCCTGCAAATGGAAAACATCCAATTTTAACTTCCTTTCTAACCTTTTATAGTTCTAAGGATAAAAAAAAGATAAAGATTCAATTGAACTCAGAATAAAATTAAATTACATTAACAGAAATGTAAACATAAGTTGCTTTTTTAATTTTTTTACTAATCGTGATAACGATCACCTGCTACTTTCGTATTTCTTTATCAAACATCGTGATCCTTTAACACAATTCGCGATTATCATAAAAATAATGATTATCGACAAATTAAAAATAATCTTTTCAGCTCAATGAATCTAACGATTATTTTAATTTTAAAAAATCCGAGCAACGATCGCATTGTCTTGTGGATGCGCGCGCGCGAGCGCGCGGGCGCTTACCTTAAGATGGCGGCGCGATCGCCGAGGGGAAGACGATCGAGTGAATCGAGTGGAGCCGAGGCGAGGCGCACCGAGCGGAGCGGAGAGGAGAGTGTCACATTCGCGTTCGAGGTTCGAGTGCGTGCGAGACGGTGGAACAATGGTCGCGCGCCGGGGTGATTTACCGTTTCTTGCTACCGTTACCGTCGTTACCGCCGCCGTCGTCGCCGAGGGTGGCTGTGCTCTGTAAGGACCAGTGGCGTCGCGCGTAAGAAGGCGAGGACGAAGAATTGCTTTGTCGGTGCGTGAAACGTAACAGAATGCTTGTTCCTTTTGCGGACGTATGTGCGCGGCACCGGGACTGGATATAATACTAAGAGCTACGCCACGCGACGCGCGTTCTCCGCTTCTTGTAATACACGCCTCCTCCTTGGGCATGCCAGCGCGTTGAGCCAAAATGGCAGCCACGTTAACCGCCGAGCAGGAGCAAGTGAGTATTATCCTGAACCTTGCATGTTTTCTCTCTCTCTGTCTTTCTCTCCGCAGATATGTTTTCCGCGATCGAACGTGATTAGATACGTCGGGATCGCCACTATCATCACCGTCATTATCTTTATCATCATCATCGTCATCGTCGTCATCGCCATCGCCACTGTCATCGTCGTCGCCGTTGCCGGGCCTCGCCTCGAGTCTCAGGAGATTGAGAGGATCGTCGAATAAATGATCGTGAATTGCAAACATTCTACTTCATATTCAAGGACTCGAAGTCTCATTGCCCTTTGTTGGCGCGAAAATGAATCTTATGCTTCTTTGTGACGTGGACATTCTACTCTCTAAATTCTTTGGAATGAAATCTCATTTAAAGATTGAAAAAGAGTGACTCAATTTTCAATCTTTAAGAGCGAAATTTTACTTTTCGAAGTGACAATTTATTTTTAAGGTCTAGTTTTTCATTTTTTCATTAACTTCTGGTTAGGCTAACCTGATAATAATGTAAAAATTATATTTTTCTAACTATGATTAACCACTGAACTGGTTTAGTAGTCACTTTTAGATCTAATTTTCCATTATCTGATTAATTTGTGGTTGAGCTTAACCTGATGCTTCACTCAATAGGTTTCATCCATGACATCATAGATGAAGCTTATTGAATAAAATATCATGTTAAGTCTAACCACA